ATGGGGGGTTCTTTAGCGGGTTATCTGAGCCGCAGCCCAAATTCCAGCCATTAGATCATGTCTTGGTTGGACATGACTTTCGCGGCTGATGTTGAAATCCTGTAAAACGATAGGGGGGGACAACACAAAAGATAACCATGATGCAGCGAGCCGTGCTGCTTAAGACGTTTGAAGTAGTCGTTTTTTTGAAAAAAGCGAAATGCTGAGAAATGATATAGAAGAGACAAGTAAAAAACGATAAGCCCAAGCTCATGTCCATTTACCCAGACTATAGCTCATGTCTTGGTTTAGATAGGGCGACCATGCCCAGCTATGAGGGGGATGTGCGAAGGTATTTACCAAGTCACTAGGTCCAACGAACCGTCAAGTAGGGGACAAGAAAGACTCTCGATCGCGGTTGGCTGAGGGTGACGATGGCATGATCATCGAGGACTTGCGGCCCAGCGCATCGAACGGGAATTTCCCACAATTACGGGTACCAATTTGGGGGGCCCCTATAGTAAGGACTATAGTATTTGGGGATCAATTTTGGGGTCCCCTATTTAGGGTATATACCAAACGGATTCAAAAGATCTGGAGTACTTTCGAACACGCTTCTAAACCTTACCAACTGATTCAAAAATGTATTGGACATGCTGTTGCCGCATGAAGATTGAAGGGTCTTCCCCCCTTGTCTTTGCGACATTCTCCCAGCACATGGACAGGCATACTTTGGAGTTGGAATGATTGGAAGAGCGCAGGGCGCTCCCTGTTGAACGCGGGTACCAAGGTCCATCTGACCCATCCTTGCAGCAGCTCCTTCAATTGGGCAGTCTCCTCTGCGAATGAAAAACATTTTTTTTGGGGGCCGTGCTGATATTTGTCATGGGCTCTAGAACCGCTTGTGAACTCATGTGTTAGGAAAACCCAATATTCCTGTGATTTTCCTTTGGGTTAGGTAGTGTTTAGGTAGTGCTTCTGTCAGGTTCTTGTTGTTTACATGTCAAGGAAGTTTCGGTTCTTCACCTGAAGTCCCGGCAACAAGGAATCCACTCAGAAGTTTGAATTGCCTGGTTTGCACCCCCCCCCATTATATAAGGTTCATATGAGGGTTATATATGGGTTATATAGGGGCTTTATGGGGTTTAGGGACCCTAACTGAACTCCGCCCCGTAAACGTGCAAGAACCCCAGGCCACTGGGGCATCCTGGTGTTTTGATATCCACCCCGGATAAGCAGGAGCGTTGTATATGAGCACAACAATTCCTGTAATCATCCGTCCTCTGGAGAATATACCTTGCTCGTCATAGCCACAAAAGAGGTCTGTAGAATACCAAGCTGGTTTTATGGGAGTTTTCAGTACTGGCCGGGGTCACATAATGTAATTTCCTTTACAACAATAATTATGGAATCCATTTTGGCCGTTTCTCAAAAAAGACAGTAACCTTCGCAGGGCCTCCTTAGTCGTTGTGCTTTATTTCAAGCAAAGTCTTGTATCCATACGCCGTAAACCCTGAACCGAAAACCTCAACACCCGCTCCGTAAACACGCACAGTGCCCGCACCCTGGATGGTAGTTTCCCAAAATAGGGGGAACCCAACGCAGATTCCAAATTCTACAAGCCTTATTGGTGGGACCCCCCAAAAAAGAGTACCCCTAATTATGAGAAGGCCACAAATCCCAAACCATCTACACACCCATAGAACCCTGTATATCCGTCATAATCCCCCTTAAAGGTATCCCTAACTCGACCCTAAAGCGTGCAGGATCTGGATGAAGCTATCCTGAGCCCAATCGGTACTGTTTTCTCAAACGACTCGAAGGTGTATGTTCCATCCTCAGGATTTTGGGGTTTAAGGGTTTAGGATTTAGGGCTGGTTTAAAGAGTTGTCAGTTTATGGTTGAGGGTTCGGTGATTAGAGGAAGGGTTTGGGGAGGGAAGGGCTTTGGGTGTTCGAGCTTAAGGTTCAGGGTTTAGGGCATTGAGTGTTTGCATCTTCAAAAAGCTCGATCGAAGGAATGGAAGGATCACGCAGAGTCTCCTAAAAGCCCCAGCAAGAGAGGTGGCAACGGCATGAGCAGGACATTATCATCTGCTGACTGGCTCATAGGATTGGTAATGGGAAAACAGCAGGGCTCAAGACATTTTGGTTCAGCCATTGCTGTGCAGCTGCAAAGAGGTTCTCGGTTGCATTTACAGGAAAGAATTTCCAATGGTGCGCCACTCAGACGGGGGAGAGCCAGAAAAACTGATACAGGCTCAAATACAAGAGCCTGAGCAATTATTCCATAATCTTAAACCCTAAAACCTAAACCCTAAAGTTCTGATTAAAGAGCTTGGCACTAGGAGGTCGGAGTGTGCTCCAGGAAACTCCAGGGTCCGAGTGGATCAAACTCAAATCCCTTACCCCCATGCATTCCCAGACGGCCCCAACTGCTTCAAAGACATTCAGCATGTAGTCCCCCTTAAGTAAACAGTATATGGAGTAAACAGGGATCTTATTTTGGTTTTGGGAATCCCCCATCCGGTCCCGCCCGCGAATAGTTGAATCATTAGACGTATCGCCGTGGCTTATACGTGGGTGTTGTCCACACAGCTGCCCCCAATGCGTCCTCCGAGGTTTGTGAATGTCCAGGGAGGCCCTCCAACTCAGACTTCTCAAGCCCTGTAGTCCCCCTTTAAGTAGATAACATGTGGCTTTGGGTATATTATAGTAAGATGCTCATATACCCCATATTCTATCTGCTTAAGGGAGACTATAAACCCAACAACCCGAAAAACCGAATCGCTAAAGTCCCAAGCCCTAAGCCCAAAGGAGCTGTTCATTGTCCAAAGCCTAAAATTACTGGCGCTTTTTAGCTGTTCTATAGGATTACCATTCCCCCGCTCCCTCTTAGGCGCCAGTAGGCCAAGTGTTGTTGCAGAGGCCTATCCAAGAAGAAAGCCTCCAGGAGCCTACGCTTGTGATGCGGCAATTTTAGGTGGACCCCCGACCCTGTAAATAGTGGTAATCAGAATGTAAGAGGACCCTAATACAGTTACCATTAGCCGTTATGGTCACTATTACGGGGTGGGGGGGTCCACCTAATGGCTATTTCCCTGTACTAAGGCTTTTAGTGCCAAAAAGCATTCGGAGCATTTCGTTTGGGACCTACAGCCCCATCATTTGGGTACTTGGACCCTCGATTTTGGTTGCTTCAGCCGCTGCAAGCATCCTCCCAATCATGCATGCAGGTAATTTGGGACTATCAGGCCGTATACTCCACATCCACTATTGTGGGCTTGTTATAGTGAATAAGTGCCTGCCAGTGTGGGGGAGGGGGTGCGAGACACATGATCAGTCCAAGCTGGTTTAGATCCATGGATGAATGTTGCGGCGCCGTGTTCTTTTGGGAGGCTCGACAATGAAGCCCGCCCACAAGTGGCATTCATAGCATCGTTGATTTCGCGTAGTATATTGTCACATTGACTGCCTGGGGCAGCGTTAATGCTACTTCATGTTTACCTGCTTTGGCCGATAGGCGGTCTCTAGCATCATCTTCCTCATCAGAAATAATGTTTTGGCCGCTGCATAGCATAAGAAGGTTTGCACTAGTGCCATGTGAGCATTGGAAAATCAGACTTCATTGCCATCATCACTTCCATTTAAGATGCCACTCGGCATTTAACTCGTAGCAGCCTCATCACCCTCATTAACAGGAGGAGCCCGCTGCCATGTGAAGGCATGACCCAGCAGTGTGGGGCTTCTGAAGATGAGGCAGCAGATGCCAGAACCTTCTCCTTCTGGTTTCCCTAGGGATCCAAATAGCCCAAGGTAGGTAATATGATGCAATATGTACAGTGAGTTTTGGGTACAGTGATTTTTGGGCACACTGCGGGTATTGCTTGTATATTTGGATCCCTAGGTTTTTTTCTGACTGTAAGAAGTGGGCAGATAGTGCAGACGATTTCGTGGCCGTTACAAAGCGTGCATCCGAAGTGTTAAGTCCTGCTAGGCCAAGGCAGGCTACAGTGGGTTCCATAGCTTCCCTTTCCCAACTGCCATCAGTGAGCAAGGATTCGCCGGACAATGCAAAAAGTTCCGCCTCTACTACTCCATGTTCGGAAAGGAGGAGTGGGCTGCTGTTTTGGGCCGTACCTGTATGTTCAAGAGGGGCATCGGCATGGGTTCCACTTGGAGGGATCACTGGCCAAGGTTCTGATAAGCATAACACAAAGGCCTAGTTGATGGGTCAGGGGACGCGGTAGACTCCTAACACCTACATAAGCCAGTAGCAGCCCACTTATCCCAATCATGCACCTACTTACTATTTCCCCCTCACCCTACAATTATGAATCTCCGACAGGGAAAGCTGGTATCTCTTGACCCAGCATTCTCTGGCTCATGAAGCTCAGAACCTGGAGGGGTCACACTGTAATGTGTAAACACAAGTCATAAGGAACGGTAGCATGTGTTGTTCCATGCGGAGAAGGTGGCAGGTTATTTGTGGACGAAGCTTGCTAAAACTGCCGCCATCAGCATAGCGAGTTCCGTGTCGCAGACTAACATGCAAACCCCAAGAACGGCCCTAGAAAGACCAATGTCATGGTTATTGGGGAAAGTGGACCCCTACCAACCAGCTCGCCACGAGGAGTGGTGGTGGATCATGGATGACTCCCTGGAGTGCATTGGTTCCCATCTGAACAGTGACCCGATGCCTCTTTTGCGTATAGAGTTGTAAGACGCTTTTGGATACTAATCATACGGTTCAAAATTTCAGCAGTTTTTGTTCCCCCTTTGAGTCCCCAAACCAGTAAGCCTTCCATTATCACTTGAAGAACGGTTACCAACATGAACTGGCGCCAACCCTCGCAGAACTGCAGCGCACAAAGCTACAATGAAATCCTCATAACCTCAACACAAGCCCAATTCCCATATCTTTTTCTATTCGATTTCAATTATTCCAATGATTTAGGCCCCTACACACTAAGCCCAAGATGTCCCTACGACCCCTGTACAGGGGACCGAATGAGTACTGAGGTCAGGGCTATTGTGTGCTGGACAACTTCCTCACGGACGGTCAAGCAAGAGACCTCAGAAACGAGGTTGCGGAGTGCCACAAGGTCCTTTGGTGGATGCTAGAATTCACGGTTTACGGTTAGGATGTTGGGAAAATCAACTGGAAAAGAACATAGATCCTGAATTGTAAAGTGGGATTATATGGGGGTTATAGTATAGGGTTGATACTAAAAAATCCTGGCCCTAAGTAGCTTAAGACTAGGGAATTATTGTGCTATAGTATAGTAAGGTCATTCGGGACAACAGTTGGTTTTGTGCTTGGGAGTTCGGAAGCCCTCTTGGTTTATGTGGAGGCTATGTAGAACTGCTCAACAACCCCCCCCATCCCCTCATAAATCTTCCCCCTAGTATTTTATGGTGCCGATATATTGAGGGGTTACACATAGGGGAGGGAATTACATATGGAGGTTTGGAAAGATCACGTAATTTCTAGGCCAGGACCGAGGCGGGTGTAAATCGGAGCCCTCACTTCAGTTTACACTTTGGAACATAGGGTTGAGGGTTTACGTACAGCTTAGACTTCAAAGTTTAGGGTGAAATTGGGGCTTATGCCTTGTACCCTAAACCCTTAGGCTGTAGAGGTCAGAGCTTCAGGTTTTTGCATTTGCAAGGCCGGGCGCTTGGAGGCCGGCGGCCTGGTCAATGGAAAGCTGCCTTCCGCAGACGATGCCAAGTACGCTGACCGGGCCACCCGAGGAAGCTTGGCTTCGCGGGATTTTTGTGTTAAAGGGTACAGGGTTGAAGGTTTAGGGTTCAAGGATTTGGGGCTTTGATTGAGGGTTGGAGTGTTTAGGGTTTGGGTTTAGGGTTGAAGGGTTGAATATTGTAGGGTCTGGGTTTAGGGTCGAAGGGTTGAAGCATTGAAGGGTTCTTTGAGGTTCGGGTTAGGGTTGGATGGCTTAGGGTTTGAGGTTTAGGGTTTTCGGTTGAAGGGTTTAGGACTCGAGGTTTAGGGTTTATAAGGGTTCCCCTACCGCTGCGTCCCCGGAATTGAAGTTTATCCAGGGTCAGGGCTAATCAAGGTGTGGCAGGAGAACTCATGATTGAATTATCGGGATCTATCCTCTTGTAAAATAAAATGGAGCCTCTACTGTCCTTTGAAAACGTCACGGCTAGATATAGCTTGGGTGGAGAGCAAGAGCACAAAGTTTGGTAGGTTTAGAGCTCAAGGTATTATGGGATGGAATGTTTTTCGGCTGAGGAGAACTGATGTTGGGTAGACCTTTGAGCGTTAGATGGTGGGCTGAAATGCTAAATGGGGTGAAGAGATCAGTGAGGTTAGAAGCGGTAAAGACGGTAGAATTCTTCAGTCACAGGAGTCATAGCGGCCAGCTAGACTAAGACACATAATGGATTGCTTAAGTTTGGCAATTGCTTGGGCGAAATTACAGAGACGTGTGCATCACGTTTGCTGGGTCGTATTTGCGGCCCCGTAATCTGTTGAGCCGACCCGGTGTGAGAATGAGATGAAGGCTTGGAAGAGCTCCGGGGGTAGATGGGTCTAGAGCATCCAGGAATTGGGCTTAAGATGGTGCATGCAGTCTGTTATGCTGTTTGGAAAGCTTCCTAACTAGACCTTCTTGAATATGCTTTCTCCCACTTTCGGTGACCTTCAATGGTCACAGGAGAAAGCTCGAAACCTATTGTTCAAGGGTACATACGCAGGCATGCGTCCTTGTAGGCATTGCCAGGGGTAGTCACGCTGGTCTAATCAATCCAGACACACGGCAATTCGAACTTCGCTTCGGTCCAAACAGGGTAACTGGCACTTGAAGTTCAGTTTACGAAGGTCTGGGTCCTTGCAGTACGCATGGCATGTTTTATGGAAAGCTTGGGCCCTGCCATAGTGGCCACTGCCTAAAGCAGGTAATGAGGAATGGAAGCCAAAACAGTCACCAATGTTATGGTCTGTGTAATTAGTATAACGGTATAGTTTGCCTTGAAAAAACGTTCAAAATGGTGCTGGCACAGAATGGAACAGACCCCTGCTTTAGTTCAATGCAAAAATATGTGGCCCAGGAGACGTCATTGGATGGTTTGATAGCGGTCAGGAGGAGTGGCCACATGGCAGAGCACTGGAAGGCTACCTACTTAAGCTGGGCACTCTGGTGTCGGAACTGCAAACAACAGTTCCGGAGCTTGCCAAGATGCTTAGCTCCAGTGCTTGCAGAATGTATTTGAGGGCTTCCATACGCAAAGGGGGAGCTCCAATGTAGACCCCACTGTATTTCAATCCTCATTACACAGGGACTGCTAAAAGGCAACCCCTGATTTTCGGAAGCCACCATGTAGGGAGGCAGCTAAACTTACAACGTCGTTGGGTGCGTGGCTATGGCCAAGAATCAGCGTTGTCATGGCTGTTGATCGAGGCTTGCTTGTCAAAGGGTCTGTTTGCGTCAGAATGATCTCAGTAAGGATCACTTCCCGATCGAAAGCCATGGTTGCTTGCTACCCTGGTGGTGGCGCGCGCTACATCAAGCATGTAGACACCGAACCAGAGTTGAGCAAAAACATTTTGTTGGCATAAATCCGGGCGCCTGAAAAGCTTGAGCAGCACCCGCCTTGCTCGTGCTCAGGTAGGAGAAAATGTAAGCTCCATGCGCAACAAAATGCGCATCAAGCATCCATTCTGGTTGCTATCATGTACCACCTATCTGACATCTGACTTGTATCTTGTAGAGGTTATCCAAGAACGTTCCAAGGACAACGATGGCAAGCACGCCCTCTGCAAGACCAGACTGCTGACCGCGCTGATCTACCTAAATGACGGTTGGGAGGAGGGTGACGGCGGCGAGCTCGCGATTTTCAGAGCAGATGATGAGAAGCTAGGCAGTCTTACAGGCGAAGGTACATGCCTTAGACTTGTTCTAGATGCAATATTCAGTTGGGGGTTGTCAAAAGTTCAACATTGTGGCTCCTTGTTGGCACCCTAGACATTCGGGGCCGTATTATATTAGATGCCCAAGAGGATGCATACGCTTGACAACGCATAACGTGACCACCAACAATCAATGAGACGGATTAGAGGCTACAGGAACAATGTTCATATGTGCAACCTAGCGACCATGGGCCTCCCCAAGTCACAGTGGAGGAATGTTGCTGATATAGGACTTCTCAAACCTTAGATAAGACGAACAGTTACAACAGGACCTCTACAACCCTTGTCATCCCTCTGCATCCGAGGACCCCCGGTTTTCAGCAAGCCCCATAATGTTTTGCCAACACTGACCCAGGAATGCGCTTCGGAGAACAGTTCCTCCTGTCGCCAACCGCGTTCTCCTCTTCTGGTCTGACTGGCGAACACCTCACGAGGTTCCAGGGAAAGCCGCCAAACCCCAACCATTATATGAGCTACCGTCAATATTAGCTTGATTATTGGGATATATAACCCCAATGATGGAGAATCATATGGAGCAGAAGATGGAAAATAAAATGGAAACCGGGATTATATAGTGTTAATAGGGATTAGGTATGAGCTTGAGGGGCCAGAAAAGCCTTCTTGTAGTTCAGTATAGTCCCTGCATTCCTATAAGGCACACACGTTCATGAAATTATGTAGGAAAATGATTGTAGTTCATGTGGGGATGTCCATACACAGGAGACCCCGTTGTAGACCTAACATACCAAAATCGTTTTTGTAAGGATTCCGAAAATGGGGCCCTTATCTTTGGAAACCGCCATACCCACACATCGCGTGTAAATTGCCGCAGGCAAAGCAGGAAATAGTACGAATCAGGAGGTTTCCGGAATCAGGGTACCTGTTTTGGGGGTCCCCTTATAAGAAGGTTTACAATATAATGCGGGTAAAAAAATGCCTTGATTTGGGAAATCACCATTCCTGCTGCAGTAGCGGGAGCATGTGTATCATCCTGTTCTGCAAGAGTGCTGGCTGGCTAGTAGGATTTAGATTTGGATTCAGGGGTGATTGTTTGGGGTTCAGGGCTTAGTGTCCAGGATCTCGTTTTCACAGTTTCGGGTCCAGGACTCAGAAAACCTGTTGGAAAAGGTTTGAAATGAGCACGTAGGCACAGCCTTAAATCCTCAATTTAAGTCTGGGGCCCCCAGGTTCGCCCATCCGAGAAGATGCGCTACTCTGTGACACTCTGGCTGCTGGACAATACCAAGAAGAGCCCTGAAGCCGAAGTTGCTGAACCCATGGCTACCTGGACCAATGTAGTTCCTTAAGAGTGATTTCTACCTGGACCCCAAAGGTATGTAAAACAATGGCCCTTAAGGCTATAATTATGGGTTTAGGGCCATTATTTTGCATCCTTTTGGGGTTTAGGTAGCGGTCATTTCGGGATCATGTATGGTTTGGGCTTATACTACTCTAAGCATCAAGAGTCGAATCGGAAAGAGCGTGGAAATATATAATGGAAGCTGGGAGTAGTAGGGTGTAGGGCAGGGGGATCCGAAAATGAGGGGTCCCTATACTAAGGAGATGTCAGGAGTACATATACATACAAATATATGTATCTATCCATATTCAGATATACAATGGTTCACCTTAATCATGGAAACTTCCATGCATTTTTTGTGGAGTCTGTGCTGGTTTGAGGCTAGGGGACGCTCCAGAAGGCACTGGCTGGAATAGAAGGTTTGCTAACATAACATACCATACTTTCAGGAACCCTAAACTGAACCCTAAGTGTTGTCGAGCTTTCTTTGCTATGTCTTATTTGGGGACCTGATACAAAGGAAGGATTTTCTCAGCCAGACTGTAGGGAGGGTTTCTGATATTCACGCTCCAGCCGTTTTACTCGTTGGTTGTTCATGTATCCCTATGATGGTTCTCACATACCCCGCAATGGCTTAGGAGTTTAGGTGCCTGTCCATTCATTCCTTCATGCCCTAACATCCAGTCCTAAACCTGACATATACCCGCAAAGAAGTGCCATGCGCTTTTCCATCTGACTTCCCATTCTCCACCAGTTAACAACCCTAAACCCTCAATCCTGAGCCCTAAACCCTGATCCCTCAATCCTGAACCCCAAACCTTAGGCGAGCCCAACAGCTGATCAGCCGCCGGCAGCCCGAGATCCACAGCCCTCACTCGCTGAAGACACCAACCGCAAAGAGTCGGTGCAGCATGAGCCTGGACCTTTGAGTCACATCCCTAGGGTTTGGGTTTAGGGTGGCTGGAGGAAATCTTCCACCAGTTAAGAATCCCGTCCTGCTGCAATTGCCGTGATATATGGCAACAAAAATGTGAAGCCTTGAATCATGGTGCAATCCCCATGGTGTAAGGTATCTAAGGTGGTGCAAGATTTCCTGACCCACCGTCTGTCTACACAAAGGCCCCTGGGAGTGTCATGAAACAATATGAGCTATAGTCTAAATTCCTTAAAGGGGGTTATATAAGGGATTATATAGGGGACTATTATGGGGCTTATTAAGGGGGATACTAGGAGTTTAGACAAGGGCTCATATCATGTTTTAGGCTTCTTCTAGTAGATCCCCCACTAAACTTTCAAACAGCTAAGGAAACACATCTGGAGGGTTCCGGGGCAGGTTCAGTGTCTAGGCCATTCCTAAAATGGTACTGTACCTGACACCTCTAATGAAAGACCTTGAGCCATCCCTGTGTGCTCCTGACGCGCTTACCTCCCCCAAATTCAACGCAACGCCGATGGCCCCCCTACGGCTGGAGGGCGGTAGCCTGACCCTTATCGGTTTTGCGGCCCTCGTCATGCATCGGGATTTCCCAAAATTATGGGTACTTTTTTGGGGGCCCTCATAATAAGGACTGTAGTTTTTGGGGGTCTATATTGGGGTCCCCCTATTTCGGGAGACTATCATATTGGGATTGTAATGGGATTGGGGCATCCTTAGATGGGATCATAAAGGGCTAGTTTTGAGAAACTTCTACGTGAGGATCTATCAAAATCATCCTCGTAGAATCCCTAATAAGGACCCCCCATCCATATTGACGTATCCCCTGGGCTCCCTTGAGAATTCCTAATAGTTCTTTAGATCTCCGGAGTCCCTTGAGCTCCCTTTTTGGAGCATGTTGGGCACACCTCACAGTATGAGGAATGGTCGAGCCAGCCTGAGAGTCTAGGCTAAGTTGAGCACATTTTTCCTTGGATATCGGGTGTAGGGTTTAGGTAGACATATTGCGAAACACTAGTACCATCTATAACTTATAACTGTAGCATCAGGTGGACGTTGGTTATAACTTGGTTTTGTCTCTTGTGCTTTCCTACCTAGTACTTTTCAGTAGTAGTTAAATGCCTTAGTTTGCATACGGGAGTTTGCATCAATAGGGATCCCCTTGCATCCAGGTATATTCTAGTCCTTATGATCGCAACTGCCGGAAAAAACCCTGTGTATACGGAACGCGCCATACAATTTCCACATACTCTCTTGATAAGTCATGCCCTGCAATTTGAGATGATCAAAGATGGGTGAGGTATTGGGAGCTGAAAGTCCAATTTCCGGGCTCGGATGCGGTGGACTGCCCTGCACTGGACCTCTCTGATACACAGGCCCGAGATTCTGTATGTAATGGGAGAAATCCTGTACCCTATCTTAAGTCTTGGGGATCGTGTGAGACTCAGGGTGGTGCAGGATATCCTCCATCACCAATTTCTCGAAAGCGGGACAGTTGATTGAAAGCACTTCGGGCTTCGGGCACCTTGTTAAAAGGGTTCTACGTATTTCCCTGAAGGTTTCGTAAGGTTACGACTGTGAGAACTCGTTCTGAGCTTGGAGCCCTGACCCCAAAACACTAATCCTGAACCCTAGTTCTTAAACCTCTACAACTGTCGTGCTAGTAGCAATCCGATGATCGCTTTGGAATCCCCGAAGCATCCAAAAACCTGCTCATGCCGGTTTCCATCTCAGTTTCCATGCCATTTTGTCCGTTTTATTTTCCACTGAACGGAAGAAGGGCAGCGACATCTGCACTTCTAACCCAAGTAAGTGTAGGGTTTAGGCTCTGGCTTCTCAAGTCTTAAGCTCCTAAAATGGTGACAGCTGAGTCTAACTTCCCTGCAGCTCAGGTCCGGCTCGTGGCTGCAGGCGCGGTATAGGGTTGTAGGGTTTAGGGGTTTTGGGGCCCTTTGGCCACCCTGGGATGTATTGGGGTCATGAGGAGATAATAGGGATCCTCCTTGCTTGAATCGAAGGTTAGAAGTATGGGCCCCGAATATAGGCCATTAGGGTTTTCAAGGGTGATTCTAGGGATTTTAAAGGGTACATATAGGGTATACAGTAGGTATATAAGGATTCCAGGCTCAAGGGCCCATACTAGGGGCCCATGCATCAAACCTGAGATTTTGAAGGTTCGTCGTACTGACTAGCCGCTTGTGATTTACCACGGAGCTGACTGATGACATTACTTACCAAATCCCTAAGTATGTAGGCCATCCCAATTATGAGCCCCACTTTATTTACTTGCCGGGTCCCGTGCACCTTCAAGTAGACGCCCTAAACATTGAACCGTCAATTTTGTGAGTTATCCTAAACCCTAAACCCTTATTATTGTTGTTATCAGCACCTACTTTTGTTTGAAGCTCCCAGGTGAGTCCATCCTGTGCTTGCCCCTTCCTTCAGGCACAGAGCTCCTTTTGCATCCTTTTTTCTATGTTGCCTTGCACTTTTTTTTTCAGGGTTTAGTGTTTAGGGTGGGAAGTAGTAGGAAGAACTAGGAGAAAATGTGGGCTGTTTAGGGGCCTTTGTGATATGGGGAATGGGGTCCTGAACTTTGGCTCGGACCCAATTATCTACAGAACAAGTTCTGGCCTTGTAGCACGCCATTTATTTTGATCCTAAACCCTCAAACCGCCCCAACCAACAGACAGAAGGATGCTGTGGAGGATCCTCCAGCTAACCCTACTGAGCTTCTGCCTTGAGGTACTTCCGGGTGCCCACTATCGAAGTGGTCCAAGAAGCTGGGTTTGCCTTGGGCCCACCTTTAAGCTAAAAAGACCCAAAAGGGCTTGGTGTATAAGGTTCATGATTTGGAGGGCAAGAGGGGACCTGCAAAGCGCAATCAAGGAAGAAGCGCACTCTGACGATTCAGTTCCCACGCACCGGCGAGGCCTGCAGGGATCTCAAAAGGGGTTGGAGAGGACATTGCAGGTCAGGTAGTATGAAGGGTTCTCTTCTGCCAACTAAGCTCTCGCACATCTCCGTGTCTAAACGTCCGTGGTTTTCATGCGGGCAGCAGTAAGTTTTCCTGGCTGACCTTGAAAGGTTCACTACCACGTCCTACTGAATCTATTATACAACAGCTACTGAGCGCCACAGTGCTCCTCATTGAATTTGATTCAGCCATCTACTCAGCTCCGCAACTCCTCCCATTGAATGTATAGTCCACCTTTAAGCAGAGATCAGATATAATATAGCTTCGGGTATAGTATCAGAAGATGCCCATATACCCCCTATTCTATCTACGTAAGGGGGATTATAATTCAAGGCAGCTACTGAGCTCCACGCCTCCCCTCTTCTCAGATTTAATTTTTTGAAACATGAAATGGCTATTGCCCTCCGCAGCGCTCCTCCTATTGAACTTGAATTTAAACCAGCTACAGAGCTCCGAAGACCTTCTTCGTTTTATTTTACAACTACGACCCAAAGCTGTTTGTGGGGCCCCTTCCCTATACGGGGCGCCGATTTCTTCCGTGGTAGTCTAGTACATGAAGCAGCCCCCACGTTACCATTGAGACACCCACCCTACCTTCTTGGTCGCTGCTGTTCAAGTATCTTGGGTTCCCCATTTCCCTAAACCCTGCAATTAAACCCTCAACTCGTAAAACTCTACACTCAGAGCCGAAACTTTCTTTTTGACCGTTGAATTCCAACCCCTGGAAATATACATGCCAAGGAATGTAAATGCATACAACCTAAGAAGTATGTGCTGTAGTATGCTTAGCGTCTTGCTGGATTTTGTCCTCCAACCGGATCCCTATGGAAAGTTATTTCTATATAGCCGCAAGTTCCGTGTCATATTTCAGCTGATTGTCCGTTTGAGCCTCCATTAATTCTATCCCCAGGTGCCCGTTTCACTAAGCCCGATGTCAAGCTCAATGGCAGAACAGCTGGCTTCGCAGGGCTGGGGCGTCACTCGGACTCGCAAGTAATGGCTGAGAGTTTAGGGCTTACCCTCTAGTGTTGTCTCCACCCCCCATCCCTAGGAACATGTTCCCCATATTAGCCCAAGCGAAAATATTAGAGGGCGTAGGATGCTTGATACCAGGGGAGGGGATAAGTGGTTGTTGTTACTCATTTTTTGGTACAGTTGGGCCAGGAGATTAGGGGTTTAGGGTTCAGGGTTGGTGGTCAGGCTTTTGTAGTTTGGTTTGCATGTTGAGTGTGAGTCTTGAGATACTTGAGGGATAATAGGGGTTCTGTATGGGGTTATATAGGGATGATGGAAAAGAGAATGCAAAGTATTATGTTATATATGGGTTATATAGGGATTGCAGTTTTTGCTCATGCCTGCCACCAATGACATGGTGTTGTGGCACCTCGCTTTTGGTCAGCGTACCTGCGTGTTTGTTCGGCATGACCTGCTTGGGGTGCAACGTGGGGACCTCAATAGCTTCAAACATCATGGTCCTCGATCCTTTGTTCTGCGTCATTAGTTTAGGGCATCTCAACTAGGCTTCACAAGTAAGCTGCCCCTAAACCCTGTTTTGGCCTTACTTTCGGCGACCAGCCAACTTCCGGGTTCTTGGCAAGTCTTAAGGCAACAGTCCGATCCCAAAAGCCCACACCCTGAAAGTACTCGTCAGCCGATCCCTGTAGTTCCCACAGTATGTTTAGTGTTTAGGCCTTATGCATTTTGAGTTTACCTAATTACGGAAATCGTATTCAGGCCGCGTGAGAGAACCCCAGGTCATGGTGTAGATTTCGAAAATGGGGGGACCCGAATATAGACCCCAGCCTTTAAAAAGCAGCCCTTGGGGAAAACCCCATATAGGGTCCAACCTGCAGGGCTCTTTGATTACAAGCTTCAGGGTTCAGAGTTCCAGGCATTGGGATTTAAGAGCTTCAGGGCTTGTGCATTAGACTTGCAAGTTTAAGACTCAGGGCGAAACATGTACCTCAAAAGTAAGTAAGATAATTGCCCCAGAGACATAAAACTGGCCAAACCAAATTATTCTACATACTTTTAGGGTCCAGGTAGGGTGTATTGTATTGGCCAAGGTCATCGATGGCTTCCTGCCGGGCCCAGAGGCAGAGGCTTAGATAGAACATGTCAGCCTCTCCCCGATAAAGGGTTTAGGGTAAATTTCCTCCATCATATACTGGCACTACTTGGGGGTGATTAAGTTTGGGGGGGGGGGGATGATGAGGGGGTTGGGGGGTTTTGTTAGGTGAGGGATTTTGCAAGAGGGACCCACCCATGATCTTGCTACAGTCCCCAAAGCTTATTATCCTTCAGGGCAGTTGTTTTTGAGAAGCCAGTTCACATGAGTGCATTCACAAGAGGGAGAACCCCCCTACCCTTAATAATAACAGAACCCCCAACCCCTTACTACTAACCCTCCACCCCAAATAGTATCGTTATAAGTCATCATACATCTGGCGGAATATTTGCTGTTAGAGGGGTCGGGGGTAATTATTTGAGGTAGGTGAACAGTCACTTTGCAGTTCAAAGCTCGTCGGCGGGATTCTCATGCGCGCGCCCTTTCCTTGATAGAACCCAGATGATTGTGGACGGTAAGAACAGGATTGCAAAACTGCAGATATTCGTAGAGCTTTGACTTCGGAAGTTTCAAGCTTTCAAATTGTTGGTTTGCTTGCGTTTTATGTAGTGAAAATAGCACTTCCTGGCCCCAACCTGCAGGTGATGATCGCCACTTCTGGGCGAGCCTGATAAGCTAAGCTGTTAGTTTGGAAGCGTGCCTTTTCAAAAACTTAAAGATACCCCCTGTATTACACTTCCTTGTTATAGAGAGCCCCCTAAACGCTAAAGCCTTGAACCCTAAGCCACGTGTTTTGGAAACCTGCAAGTAAGGATGAGCTGAGGAGCCATGTGCTTCAGCAAAGAGCTTTGGGCAAGCTGCAAACTGGGCTGTTGTTGAACAACATGTTTAATTTTAGGTATACATGAACCGATCACAGATGAGAAATGACCTGTTTAGAGTTTACCATAACATGAACCCATCATAGATGAAACAAGGACTTTCTGAATGAGAGATTTTGGGTAATCCCAGCCCTTAAGATTGGGACAGCATACCTATGACTATCATATGGCTATGATTTTTTTGGGGGGGAGTGGGTTCCCGAAATCTTTTCCTTTTAAAGTGACCTCAACAGCATTCGAGGCAAACTGGCAAGAACTCTCACGAAGGTCCCGTGAGGTCCACTCAGGATGGGTCTGTCGCCAAGGATGGCCCCATGAAGAACCTGGGACCAGTCTTAGTGTACAAAGGACCTCAAGAATTCAAAGGGTTTTTTGAGGTTCTAGAATACTACAGCTGAAGAAGGGGGCTGAGTTGATGTTATGAAGAACTTGGATTTGGGCCTTCCAAAAAACAAAGGCAGGGACCCTTTCTATAGAAATCATAGGTTATGGGGTATATGATGGGGCACCCCGCATCGATGGAATCTTTGAGATTGTTTTTCGGGGGAAGGAAGCTGGTTTCGGCATGTGTCGCGGTTATTTGGGGGTTTCCCAAAATTTGGGTACCATTTTGGGGATCCCCATAATAAGGACTATAGTATATTGGGGTCTATCTTGGGTCCCTTGTTTTTGGAAACTACCATTTGCTGTGAGATTCCATGATTCCATGGTTGAGAATTCAGCGATACTTCCTGCACACCTTGCTTTGTGGTGTCAGAGGTGTTGTCCCACAATGCCAAGTTGGATGACTTTTAGGATGATGGTTGTTCTGCTCCTCCTGAGTACTTGCCGATGAAAAAGGGATACTGTAGTCTGGGTGTAGTGTAATAGTCTAAACTCCCAGTATCCTCCTTAACAACACCCATAATAGCAACCTATACATTCTATCCTAAACCCTAAACCCCTCCGTTTTGGTTGTCGTACTTTCCTCTGATCCAGGAATGACGAGTACACTTTCTGCGACTCGGAGGGCGGGGATGCTCCCCCCTTGCAGCTGGCTTGGGTTCAGACGCCTTGTCTTACTGATTTTTAGTAGGAAATAAGGGGAGTACTGTAATATATAGGGAGTATGTAGGGATTATGTTCCCTTATTCCCTACTAAGAACCAGTAAGTTTGCTAGTCTTGCTTTTTTTGTGGGGGGGAGGGGTTTGATCTGCGTAAGAACGCGTGGAAAGTATTCGAGGAGACCACCACCCTGGACGGCCCAGATCACGTAACCCTAAACCCTACACCATCCATGCCGCTACAAGTCGTGTCCCGACAATCCCAGAACACTATGAACCGGATCTATTCAACGCTCCAAAGCACTAGAACCTAAACCCTACAGATCCATCGCGCAGCGTATACCCTAAACCCTGAACCCAAGAACCCGTAGACTCCATACCCTTCAAGCTTTGAGATGTCCAGGCAAGCTCTTGGACGTATGCCCTATACAAATCCCTAAACGCAACTCTTTGACCTGTCGATGCCCTTACCCTCCAGAATCCCTAAATATCATGAGCCCTATACCTTACACGCTGAGTCCCTACAATTCTTTCTCCGACTTCTTGACTTCTTGTACCCTAAACCCCTAAAACCCTAAAACCCTCAATCTAGGCATGCCCACGCAATACCCGATAAGCCCCGAGAAACCCAATCAAGCCCCCCAACTTACGCACTCCGAACAAGGGTTTAGAGTTCAGGGTTTATTGTTCAGGGTGGTCCCTTGGGTAAGAGCAGAGACTAAAGCCTACACTGTTGAATGATGCAGGCGTGAGCTCACGCGCCGCTGCAACCAGCTCCTCGCTAAGTTGCTTGGGCCGGTCCTGGTTTTGTGGTTATGGAATATGATATTTATTGCTATTACTGTTACTATTCTCCTTGGAACTTAGCTTGGACTCTAGACCCTTAACCCTTTGGGATTCCCAAGTACTCCTATACTCCACTTATGGGTCTCCAAGGGTTAACCCTTAGTCTAGGGGTCCTATGAGTCCTATGTGCCTCGTAGTCTTCTCATTATATAGTACTGCTACTGTATTCTCATTATTTAGGGAGAAGAGGGTGTTCGCGCTATGCGGTTCATTGAAGGGGGTGTAGGGTTTAGGATTTGAGGTTCAGGCTTATGCGTCTGGACTCAGGGTTGGGACACAAGGATTTGTGGATTGGGGGTTGGGACTTGTAGAACATGCATTTACTGGAGCTTTGGGGCTTCCAGAATTGGGCTTAAGTTCTGGGGGTGTTTCAGGCTGTGTACTCCTCATCCCATCGAATCATCTCGCATGACGTTCTTAGCGGATCCTCGTATACGTTTACTTACTGGTGGTTAGCAGGGAATAAACGAATAATTTCTGTATAATATGTTCTGTTATTCCCTTCAAAGCGCCAGTGAGTAGTATAGGGCTATGGAACGCTTGGTCGCTCCGCAGCTCAAAGTTGTGCGATATCTTGTCTTATACTGTCATGTGTGATTCTGCCACAGGAGCCCCTTAAAGAGGACATGTTTCTGCCCTTGGCAGTTGCCAAGCCCGTTGCTCATCAGCTTGGCCACGTGCTGTTAGTCCAAAGCGCTCTGAATCCAGCCAAGCAAGCTCCAGATCTCCCCGCAAATCGTACCAACCTTGGGCAGAGTCTATAGCCCCCCCTAATGTAGATAGAATATGGCTTTGGGGATATTATAATAAGATCCCCATATACCCCATATTCTATCTTCTTAAGGGGGACTATATAAATTAACACCTGGGCTTTTTGGCTCTGTCAGGTATGGCTTAGATCCCTGAGCAGGTTTAGCTTTTAGGGTCCAGGCGCTCACATCCGAATCTGATACCCTAAGCCTTCACACTGATACTGCGCCCGGAACCTTAGCAAGCTTCCATCAAGTCCGAAGTTGTTTTCCTAAAGTGCCTACTTAGCTTCTGCGAACCCATTTGACGCTAGATCGCAATGCAACATAGGTAGGGTTGCGCGAGCGTACTTTGCAAGAGCGCACTTCCCCCCAAACTAAGATGGAAGCCCTTAAAGCAGCTCTACAAAGACTGCCGCCCTTCAAAAGGCGCCTATAGATGGACTTCTGTATTAGTTTGGGGAGGGTAGTAACTGTTTGAGTTGGTCAAAATGGTATCCCTAATTCGGGGTAATAACCCTAAACCATAATCCCCAAACCCAAAGCCCTATATAAGCCCTATATAACCCCATTATGGTAGTTTCCATTCTCTTTCCCATTATCCCTATAACCACCCCATTATAGTAGTTTCCTTTCTCTTTTTCATTATCCCTATAACCCCATTATAGTGGTTTCCATTATCGCTATATAACCCCTAAATAGCCCCATTATAACATGGTAGCTTCCATTTTCATTTGCATTATTCCTATATAACCGGTAGGAGCTGAGCCAGGTTGATGGTGGGTCAGGAGGCAGGCTCAAATCTGGCAGAGCTTCGCACAATCAACCTCCTGCAAGGCCACTTGAAAGCAAATCGCATATGAGCTGTAGTCTAGACTCTTTCACCGGGGGGGGTTCTATGGGGGATTATAGGGGACTATTATAGGGTTTACTAAGTAGGAGTTTAGATTATAGCTCATGTGGGAGTCGATGAGATATGAGGTGCATTCTTATAAGGCTTACACGGTTTGAGGTGCTGTATTTTTTGTTTGGAGCCCCAAACCCGAAACCCTAAACCCTAAGCCGCCTCATGTTGGCGTTTACCGATTTTTGTTGCCGGCGGATGCTCCACATGCCCAAGATGCTATTGATCATCTTGCGCAAAGTTTCAGGGCTACTTGTGGTACTTTGAGGGGCTCTAGATCTGGGTAATTCACTATATTCTGATAATAACCCCACAAAAATCCTACTGTAGCTGTTTAAGTAGGTTGCCCAACCCATTGGTTAACCCTGGGATCCTTCAAAGTATCCTGGGGTGTGAAAATCTGTCCTCGTGACCTTGCTGCCCTGCAGTTCCTACTCGAACTGGGTGGTTTGCATGAATAGGGGGCCCCGATAGGTCATAGTATACTCTCCATCCTTCTTCGGACTGCCAAAAGGGCGCCTCTAATGTCAGAAACTAACAAGTAGGATTGGGGGGGGAGACGTGATTTTGTTATGCCATGGAATATGATATTTCGTGCTCTTTCACGAGTAAGCAGAATCCAGGCGAACGCTAGCATGTCCCTTTCCCATCCTACGCTGCTGCATTTCTATATGTCCCTGTAGGAAGACCATATAGTCCCCTTAAGTAGATAGAACATGGCTTTGGTATATTATAATACGATCCTCGTATACCCCATATTCTATCTACTTAAAAGGGACTATAATCCCCTCCCTCGAAGCAGCCAGGCCATCCAATGATGGCGGTGTACCCGGGCAACGGTTCAGCGTATGGCCGGCACTTAGACTCCACAGCTGGTGGACGGGGAGCCAATGGACGGGTCTTGACTTTGGTGTTGTACTTGAGCCTAGTCCTGGTTTTGAGTTTAGGGAAGGATTTGTAATTTGAATAGTACTTGACTCTCAAGCAGGAACCTACAGCTATCGCAAGCCTGACCAGGACAAAACAAAAATGTATGTCATGCACATTCATGTCCCTCAATTATTCCTCTAAATCTAGCATGCAAAAGCGGAGATCCCCCCTACACCACAGAAAGGCTGCAAAGCTATTGCTATCCTTGGAAGGGCGGATACTCAGCCAAGGAATCCTTTCTGGCGCCAAGACCATGGGGGCTGCTTGCGGATCCTGAAGCAGTTGGCTGATGATGGCACTGCAGGCACAGATGTGGAGCCACTGCATGGGCGACTCATTGCTTTCTTCTGCCTCTCGAGTAATTTGAGCCTTCCTTTCTGGTACCTTTTGCGGCTTTGCGATATGGGCTGTTACTTTTGGAAGCCCCTCACCTGCTTCTCCTGCTCCAAATGTTTGTAAATTGCTTAGGCTTCCCAGCAAATTCAAGATGGTAAGGTCAGGACCAGAACCCTCATGAAGTGCTCCCAGCATGGAGGGACCGCGTTGCCGTCACAATTTGGTACTACGATGGAGATCGCTTGAAGGAGCGCTGCGTCGGCAACGAGGCAGCACTGACTGGAGTTTTCGAGGGCGGCTAGCGCCATAGCTCTCATGCGCCATCAGGGGAAGTCTTGACAGAGTAGGGTTTGGGTTCAGATTTTAGGGAGGTTGATTCAGAGCCCTGGGTTAGCTAGGCACAGAGGGATAGGGTAGTGCATAGGGCAGCAGGGGTTGTAGGGCAGGGGTTCTCTAGGAGTAGAGAGGGTTCCACCGGGAGTCCGTATTTGGCCAATGTGCCAACACTGGGGCTTGTTTACCCCATCGAACGTTTTACGGTCCCGCTGTGATGGTTTCATTTTATCGTAGCTAGGGTGCTGGTATTTCAGTCGGCTCATTGCCATGGAAGCCATGCGCTTACCATGTGCGGTGTACGCGGTGTAGGTAGTAGGACGAAGCCGCGCCATCGCCTCGAAAAAGGTTGGCTTGAGTGTGGAAAGACGGCAAGAACAGGCACCTGTACCCTCAGATCTCAAGCCCAACGCAGCTCCCGAAGGCCAAATCCTGCGTGGCCCTTAGCCCTAACGTCTCAGCTCAAACAAGTGCGTATGACCTTGGCAAGGCCATGCGAGTGTCTAGCATTGAGCATGGATGTTTAGCTTGATCTTGCATGTGACATTTGAAAAAACATTGCTGTTTTCATCCAATCCGCCGCCACCATTGGGCGTATTTTGTTGCCTGCACTCGTGGATATTCGAAGAGGACCAGAAAAGTTGTGAGCGGCGTGATGTGAAAGGCGCCACAGAGCAATGATCCTGTGGGTGATAGCAGCTCATCCATCCTGTGGCGGTATCTATGAGCAAGAACAATACTTGACAACACACCTCTCCACCCACAGTCCGCAAACAAATATTTGTACGTAACTAATCCGTCCTTAGTAACGATGACGGTGCTGGATGGCAGTGTTTTACTGGTGTCCTCATTGCAAGCAACGTGCATGTGTCCACGGTTGCGTATGGTCTGCTCTCGTCCCATGGATTGGGCGTAGGGCCTGAGCATGAGCAGTGGTAGGGGTGTACAGAACTGATGGCAGCAGTTCTGGCGGCAGCAGAAGAAGACGGCTGCGGCGAGAAGAGAAGCAGCAGGAGGAGGAGCAGGAGGAGCAGCAGCAGGGGGAGCAGGAGAAGGAGGGCAGCGGCGGCAGCAACAGCAGGAGGAGGAGGAGGAGGAGCAGGCGGCATCGCGTCCTAGAGGCGGTAGCGGCAAAAACTGCAGATAGCCCGGGCTATGGTCAACTTGAAGATCGCGACCTCATGACTTGTAGAGTCGAGTAACCGCTTCTCGAGGAGGACTGGGCATGTCGCGAGACATGCGCCAAAGGACGTCCCTGAGCGATATCCGCCAGAAGTCCTTTGCAGCGGCTTGCCTGCCTGAGTTTTGGAGACTGAAGGTGGTCCTTTGGGGCTGAGCATTTCCGTTCTCCAGGGTTGCATTAAGCATAAGTCCCCAAGCAGCAAAGCTTGGCCACACAGCTTGCGCTGACCTTATTCTCAGGTTGTCTCGCGTAAGGCTTACCTCAGGACACCTCTCAAACCTGATACAGGTTTAGGGTCTCCAGCTCCTGGGGGGAGGATTCATAAATTTCAGGTCTGGAGCTTGCAGACTGTGGGCCGAGGTGTTAGTTCTGGAGATGTTTAGTAGTAGCCATGGAACCTCGGATCATACTTTGATCTGGCCCCAGGGCCCTTAGGCAGCTCAGCCAACCAATACTTTAAACGAAGCTCGAGAACTTGTTGTAACTCATGTAAGCATTTTGTGCTAGGGGCTAGGCATGGATTCAGAGGGCTGTGGACCTGTCGACCTGTCACGTTTCTGAGTGGCTTCGTCCTGCACCGGGACGGGGGCTCATCTGAGAGTTGCTGGTAAAGCTTTGGAAGCAGAGACCAGAGGTAAGATCTAAACCCAGAACTACAAGCCTCAACAAACATAGGATCCTGCTAAATTTCCTGACCCTAGGCTGTACAGTAAAGTAGGCTGTGCAATGCAGATCTGTTGTTTTTTTTCTTTGTTTTTTTTTGTGCGGGTTACCTTGGGTTTTTGTATGGGCCGAGAAATACAAAAGCAAAAAGGCAGACCAGGCGGGTGTGAGCCAAAAATCCTTCAAGTGAGGGTGCAGGGACCAACTAGCAAGTCGAAGTGAATAGGGGGTTTCTCAAGGATCCCCTAACCCTAAACCTTAAACCCTAGAATGCACAATAAGTACTCCAAATCCGCCTGTAGTCCCCATATGGCAGTTTCCCTGTAAAGGTACCCATATCCTGGGGTTCCCTGGGTCGCCTAAACCCTAAACCCTGTAATGAGAAACTCTCAAATTTTGGAAGTTCCCTCAGGAGAGTAATTGCCTCGCTGCAGCAAAGATGGGAATGCTTAAGCTACTTGATTGCATCCAGCCTTATGGGGTTAAGGGTTTAGGGCTCAGGGTTTAGGGTTTGGGTCTTAGGGTTTCGGGGTTTTGGGGCTTAGGGTTTAGGGTTGACATAGGCTTTGGGCTACTTGGTGGCAACCAGCCTTCCTCTAGATATTGAGTTATGAAAAGAATACCTACATTGGGCCCAAAAAGTCTGTAAACGTTGCCTACCTTGGGCTATTTGGATCTCTAGGATTTGGGTTAAGAGTTCTAGATTTGAGGGTTAGAGTTTTGGGTTGTGGGTGTAAGCTCTTCGGGGTTGTCAGGCCCAATTTGATCTGAATGTCTTGACTTATTGCTGGTTATCTTCCCTCATTCCGTCTCTGCTCATCCCGCCCTCACCTCCAAGTTTGGGGTTTCGGATTCCGGGACTGAAGATGAAATCACACTCATATGAGCTATAGTCTAAAACCTCCTTAAACGGGGGTTGTATAGGGGATTTTATAGGGGAGTGTTATCGGGGGGACACTCGGAGTTTAGACAATGGCTCATGTGGATTCTGCACTGAAATCCCATTGCGGGTTTGCATCATGGCCATTGACATCAAGGCACCATAGGAGCCAGTCATTCAATTGCGTCAGGGGGGCGTACAAAGGGCCTCTGGCATTCACATAAAGACGCTTCCAAAATTAGGGTCCCTTTCTGTAGGATTCCCCATAGTACGTTCAGGTATACATGTATTTCAACTGTAGATGCTTGTGGAGCTAGTGTCTACAAATGCCGCAAGCCCAAAAGGCTACTCGATTACGGATCCTGGTGCTTTTTGATGGGAAGATGGGGCATTTGTCCTGTCCATCCACAACTGTATGAGGCTGCCTGGTGCGGGCTTAGGACAAAGCACATTCACACTCTTCTCCTCCAGAACCCTTTGCAAGGATACCTTCAAAAAGGAGGGCCCCGTGTTTTTGAGAAGCTATAAACAAAGCCGCGGCCCGCAACATGCAACCCTAAAACTCCAGACCTTATTCGATCCCGTATTTCCCAAGCTCCTGGAGAAGCTGCATACCTTCCTACAACCCGCCCACATTTTCCAGAGACCCACACGTTCACTGCTGTGCTGCCCAGGGAGAATCCGTGGTGCGGGGGCCTTGGAGTTTGGTAGGGTCTCGTTCAGGCTTTGACGAACGAGGAATGCTCTAGAAATTCTGTCAGGTGGTTCTTATGCTGTCAAGAACCCTAAGTACCAGCTGAAGCTATGATGTCTAGCAGGGTTCGAGAGAAGGTAGACTACTGATGCGTTCATTATCTCTGAAGCCCTCTCGGGGCTGACCATATATGTATAGACTCTACCATGTTCACAATGTGGCGACGATGCGGATGTCAAGGGTGGAAATAGATCTCGTTGCGGAAAGTTCCCGAACAGAATCCGCCGGTCCTTTACCCACAGAACAAACATGGACTGCGACTCATACGCGGGTTTCGCCAAAAATCTGTCTATGCTCCTTAAGAGGGGCACCCTCAATCTTACCCCCGCTTATTATAAGAGTCTCAAAAGAGCCCGACCCACTCTCATGCGCCATCGCTGACGATGCCCTGTAAAGATCCTGTCATCAAATTCTCCTTTACTCTATCTGGAGGCTCCCCGGAGCTTACTGCCTTGTTCTTCCGCTGTTTTCTCTGCAGACATCTCGGAAGAACCTGAACAACTTTCAAAATCACAACGGCCCAAAATCTCGAGAATGAGCTGCCTGCGGAACTGCATCAGGAATGCGTCAAGCTTTGCAGCTTCTTTTGCCAATGGTTGAGGGTCTTTGCGAGAACCTCTCTTCGTAATGTCACGGACCATGCTTAGAGAGAAGTGGTTCTAAGAAAGGAGACCAGACTTTGTAGGAGAATAGGTTTTGGGTTGTATGATACGTTATCGCTGGCTTGCTTATTATGTATGAACCATGAATCCTCTCGTTGCTATGCTACAGTGTTTTGAGGCTGCATACTTTTATCAAGTCTCCAACTGCCTTCTGCTAATCCTTTAGGCCCAGATGTCTTGGCAATGCCTGTTTACAGATGCTGTGAGGCCATTTGGCACTTCTGCGTTTTGGGATCAGGGATTCAGGCTTTGGGGATGTAGCTTTGAGTTAAGGTTCGGGACACCAGGGTGTAGGGTTTAGGGATGATGCTGAGTTGCGGCTACTCCTTGGTAGAAACAGTTGCTGATGGTAAGGCTTGCAAGATTATGGGTTGTTTTGCGATTACAGCAGGGAATAATAGCAGGGACTGGTGTTTGGAGGTCATGTCAAAGGTCTATACCTACCAGGGATTCTTCTGCAGAGCAGAACTGCATGACGCTGTGTGCAGAAGCAGAGACAAGTGGGGGGGAGCCCTGCTGAGGCAAGGAGTCCTCTGGTATGAGATGGCACTTGGGCTGCAGTCAGATGCATGGGTTGGGCGGAGGGTTTACAATGTGGTGAGTATTTTTGGAGCTTCCCCATTTGGTTTAGGGTTAAAGTTAAATTCATTTTATTGGCTGCATGATGATTAGATTTGCAGTGGAGAGCCAATTGATTGGGACGCGTGAGACAGTGCTGCTCATGGCTGCTGAATGCTTTTCCCTTGTAACCAGCTACATAGCTGTCATAGCCTAAGCGTGTTTTACCGAATTACGACAGCGACCAAAAGATCAGGGTCCCCATTGTC